AAGAAAGAAAGAAAGAAAGAAAGAAAGAAAGAAAGAAAGAAAGAAAGAAAGAAAGAAAGAAAGAAAAAGACAGACTGAGGAAGATTTCAGAAATTACCACACAGGGCGGGAGAGAGAAAAGAATTTCTCTCCTGTTCAATCTGTCAATTCTGGGTCCCGAGGCAATTCATAAAAACAACAACAGTGTATGAAACGCAATAAAATGATCAGAGTAAAAACACTAAAAAAAAAAATAATTCCAGCAATTTGAAAGCACAGCCGAGCATTAGCAGAGTTTTTTAAACCCCTTCGGCAACCTGCTAAAAGCAAGCATGGCTAACTTCCCTCCTACGGCAGATAAAACGTGCTTGGGTTTTATTTTTATTTTTTTAAACTCAAAAGTCTGGCTGGGGAGGAAATTCCCAGTTGGGATGTACCAGATTGTCTGACTTGACAAATCTGGAGAGAAGCGTGTTTCCTCCCCTCTTGGGCCTCATCCCATAATTTCTTCCCCAAGGCAGCCATCAAAACCCTCCGCCCTGCCTTCTTTCAACAGGGACACATGCAGAGGAAGCCGTGGAGAGATCAGCCCCTGCGCCCTAAGAGAAGCACCGGGTTTCTAGTCCTCAAGAGGGCTCGGCACAAGGAAGGGGAGAAGCGGTGCCGCATGCCAAATTAACCCACCTCTTTGGGGGAAATCCCCATATTCTCCTCTGAGCAGGCATAAGAACAAGAAACTGAAATAAACCTATCGTCCTTATCTCTGGATTCTCTCCCCCACCCACCCACCCCGCCCCAATAACCTCTCCGGTTCCCCCTTTACATCGGATTCAGCTCCTTGGGACAGCGGGGGATTCTGGCACTCGGCTTCCTGAGCTAATTGCTTACACATCCATCTCCGGTTGCAATACAGCCGGCGGGACCGACGACCTCGATCTCAGAGGCTCGGTTTAATCTCTCGTAATAATTTTTTAAGCAGAGGTTTTACGCCGGCGCTGGAGAAAGTCTGGAGCTAGGCTGGAAGGCTGTTGCTGCCGGACAAGGGTGGATTTGAAACGGGGTCCAGATTTGACACTCAAATCGAGCCCCCGGCACCGGAGGCCTGACCCACAATGGGTTGTTAATTGGTGTTAACAGCTACTGCATCTTGGCCAATCTTGGACTTGCAGCGGTTCTTGAAAAAATAGCCCAAGGCCCCAAAAGAGCTCGGGTTGAGGTGGGTCATATCTGCCCTTATTTGCTGTACCGGACATTAAAACTGAGAGATGTTTATAAACATTTATTGATCTGACTTTTCACGGACTTTATTGAAAATAGAGACCTTCTACTTGGGATGTGGGGATTGGAGCCGGCGTCTGGCTTTGGCAGGCCTGTTTGCTCTGCCATCCTGAAGACCCCACCAAAGGGGTCTGCTAATTTTGCCCTGGCTGAAATTAGCAGACTCGTCGCCCTTTTGATCCCACGTGGATAGCAGGAGCAGCTATCTGAATCCTGAACCAATTTTGGAAGATCACTTGTGTTTCCCTTCTGAAACTCTTTCTGAAAAAAGTGAGAACGAAGGCAGGGGGTGCCGCTTTCGGAGGCCCCCCGAGGATAACCAAAGCTTTATTTTTTCTATTTCCATTTTCTACTGCAGGCAGCAGGGCGCAATCTGTGCCCACTCACCGCAGGGCCCCTTGTGTTTCACGTGGATCTCCTTCCGGAGGGCGCACGCCATGGCCTCCAGCTCGCAAGGGTTGCTGTAGGTGAGGTTGTCGCTGCCGCAGACCGGATCGTAGATGCTCTGGCACACTTGCTGGCATTCGCAGATGGCCTCCTGGTTCTTCACCACGCAGGTGGCCCCGAACTGGCACTCCACGCTCAGGCAGGGGCTGGGCTTGCCAAGGTCTGAATCAGAAGAGCAGGAAAGCAGGTAGAGGGGTTAGAGAAGGGGCGACGCCTTCTGGAGCTGGGCAGAGTCCCCCCACCTCCATCTCTCTCCACCATTGGGGCGAAAGGATTTTCAGGAATTGACGTGTTTGCAGACCGCTCTTACCCAAACAGGTGGGGCAGATCTCAGGACAAGGGGATCCCTCGGTGTTTCCTGACCAACTACCCCTTTGTCACAGCAGGGAAGGGATCAGCGCTCTGCCCTTAACAAAAATCCACTCAGTTATGCCTCCCTCCACATATCTGGGGCGTCTGCATCAGAGGTGGCCCTTTCCCCCATCGCGGCTTCTGCTTATTTGGCCGTGGCAGGGAACGAAGAGGGTAGGGGATGCCCATCTGCGTGGAAAAGCCACGGCGGGCCCACTTCAGATTTTGCCAAAGGCACCCAGCTTCTTTTCATGCCTAAGGTAGGACTAGAACTCACCGTCTCTTGGTGATTGGCCCAAAGTCACCCAACTGGTTTTCATGCCTAAGGCGGGACTAGAACTCCCAATCTCCTGGTGATTGGCCCAAAGGCACCCAGATGGCTTTCATGCTAAGGCGGGACTAGAACTCCCAATCTCCTGGTGATTGGTCCAAAGGCACCCAGCTGGTTTTCATGCCTAAGGTAGGATTAGAACTCCCAATCTCCTGGTGATTGGCCCAAAGTCACCCAGCTGACTTTCATGCTAAGGCGGGACTAGAACTCCCAATCTCCTGGTGATTGGTCCAAAGGCACCCAGCTGGTTTTCATGCCTAAGGTAGGACTAGAACTCCCAATCTCCTGGTGATTGGCCCAAAGTCACCCAGCCAGCTTTCAACCCTAAGAAGGGACTGGAACTCACAGTCTCCTGGTTTCTAACCTGGTGCTTTAACCACTAGACAAAACTATATCCAGTTTGCCTAGAAGGACACCATTTTCTTCCTACTGGTCACCCAGGGCTTCAGTAAGCTACAAGGAAATAATGCACTTTCCTTTCCCTCCACTAATATTAATTATTGCTCTCCAGCACAGGAACAAGTAGAACTCAAGACTGCCGCCTAGTAGGCATCAACGTTTATTCCTGGACCCCTGAAATAACAGCTGCTCCACCTTGGTGGCGGGCTGATGCGTTCCATAAGGACTAGCGACTTCGTACTGACGCAGTCGGAGCAGCACGCTTTAGTTCTCCGCGTTCAGAGCCCACCAAAAGCACAGCCTGCTTCCAAGCCCAAAAAGAGAGAGAGAGAGAAAAAAAGATTTGTACCACCGCGGGTACGACTTAGAATTTTTTTCAACCTTTCAGCCTCTGGGGGAAACGGGAAGTTTTGTTTATTTACGAGATTTCTTTCTCTCTCTCAATCCTCCCTTAGCTCAGGATGGGGCCCTTCATGCACACAGGAGGTGGGAGGAAGAAAGCTGGGGGGGGGGAGAAGGGAGAAATTGAGGAGTGGGAAAGTCTGCCATTATTTGGCCCGCAGCAGATCTTGGCGCATTGCAATCCCAAGTTGCTCAAAAGGAAGGAAGGAAGTGGAAAGCAGGCTGGGAGGGGGGGGGTCATCATCACCAGGGAGGGAGGGAGGGGAACAAGAGAGGAAGAGGAAGGTGGGGGAAGCACGGAGACAGGGTGACCAAATGCAGCGATCAGGAAGAGGCAGCCGTCGTTCTTCTGAAGGGTGCATCTCATGCCATGGCCCGTTGGGGTATGTGCAAATAAAACCCCAATCTTAAAATAAGACCCCAGCCCACGGGATGACAGGACAAAAGGGGTCAGGGGGGGATCTCAAGCCTAGCTGGGTTTTCATGCCTGGAACAGCTGCCTGCTAGCCACTTCCCTGCAGGTAGAAAGCAAGCCTGTCAAGAAGGGGGCAAGCCGTGCACTTCTCTTACTCCAGGGCTAGAAGCTTTTTTTCTGTGAGTTTTAATCACAGCCAAAGAGCTGCTCTCAATTTCTCACCTTGAGGGGGGGGGGAAGGAAAATAAGAAATCTAGCCCCGAAGTAACGGCGAGAGGGATGCGTAAATCAAATTACAAGGGCGGTAAAACCATTCTCAAAAGCCAACCAGGAAGGTCAAGAGGGAGAAACGGATCTATTCTGAAAAAATAACAGCTCTCCAAATTAGCTCATGTGCTGGGCGTTCGCTGACACGCAGTCCTCGACTTTACGGCCTCGACAGAATTCCCGTGGCTAAGCAGGCGGGCTGCTCAGAAGGCCGTGCCCGATTTTACGACCTTTTTTCGCCGCTGTTGGCTGGCGGGGAAGGGTCGCAAATGGAGGGTCACATGACCCCAGGACGTGGCAACCATCATACATACATACATACATACCGGTTGTCAAACGTCTGAATTTTTGATCGCGTGACCCTAGGGATAACGCGTCAGTCGTTAAGCACGAGGATTGGCTCTAAGTCCCTTTTTTGGGTGCAGTTCTAACTCCAAATGGCGGCTAGACGAATGGTTGTTAAGTCAAGGGCTACTGCCTGTGTTCATACAACAGGCTTAATCAGGCCAGCAAAAGGCACCGTGGCACGTGTTCCCAACTCCTTAGATTAGACTTAACCTTGGCATAATTTTTTTCCCCCTAGCTCTGCCAGTTGTCTCATATCAGCCCATTTGTCAAGTGTGGTACCACCCCAGCCCAGAAAATGAGCTAATTCAATCTCTGGGCTCAAAAGGTTGTGGGAATGCATCGTGCGTGTTCAGGGGAAGGGTGCAACCTAAGATGCTGAGAGGTCTTATCCACGAAAGGGAAGAAAAATACCGGCTCCCAGATCCCGTGACGTTCGACGGAGAAAGGGAAAGGTGCAAAAAAAAAGCTTTCGAAGCAGTATGAAAATGGGGTGTCCCCCCCCTGAAAAATGCAAGGAAACAGGCAATGCTAAGAGGAAGCGAAGAAGAGGGTGCGGGAGAGGGAAGCAGCAAACCTTGCAGGAGAATTCTCCTGGTAGAGTGAACTGGAGAACTGGGCAGGCCCACTTCCTTTGTCCGAACGGAAAACACTAGAAGACACAAGACAAACAGGAAGAAAGAGAGAAAGAAAGGAAGGAAGGAGAGAGGAAGGAGGGAAAGAAAGAAAGAAAGAAAGGGGGAGGGGGGAGAGAGACAGACATAGCTATGGACTGATTCCCCCACGTTTCCAGGCACACCCCAATTTAATTCCCCCTGGCAGATCATTGGCGTCCAGCTTTCCTTTCTGAATTTTTGGTCAGTTCCACGCAGAGGGACCACGTTTTGCCTGGTGAAGGGGCACGTTTAAAATCGGTGTGTGTGTGTGTGTGTGTGTGTGTGTGTGTGTGGTTCAAAACTCGTATTTTCGAACTGCCGTGAAGGGAGAATGCAGAAAAGCTGCTTTTCGTTTGTAATGAACGCTTTGCTGAACGACTATTCATTAAATTAAACCTGTGATTATTTTACCTTTCCCATATCGAAGAATCTCGGGGCGATTTGAAGATTAAAAAGACGTACGGTGGCAGAAAAATTAGTGGAGGATTATTTGCCTCAGTGCAAATGTTTGGCTGTTTTCAGGGAGGTGTGCGTTGTGCCTGTGATGTGCAATCCGCTTTGCTTCTGCACACCAGACAGGCAAGATTAATTTTCTTCTTCCTTTCGCACCCTTTGTTGTTTTTTTTTTTTTTGTAAGCCAGCCAGAAAAACAAAGAGTTTTTATCTTTTTTTTCCCCTTTTCTGCATGCTCCTCAGAGAGATAATATCGTTATCCTTCCCCTGTGAATTTTCAGAGGAGGTGGAAAATGTATTTACCATGGTTTAACTAGTGCATTTAATTCAGTTGCTGATTCTAACTCGTTTTGAGGGTTGGCATCGTAGAGTGAACCACAGGATGAAGGATGAATCGGCGGATTGCAAGGGGAACCAGGGTTAGCAGGAATCATCACATCTGCACTGTTGTGTAGAACGAAGTTGCTAAGTCTTCTTTTGACATGCTTGGGAATCAAGTCCATGTGAAAAGAAAAGCATCCTCAACAATTGATTCTCTGCACGGGACGACTTCCTCGGGCCAAAGATATGACTGGAAACTTATTCTAAAGGAAATCCAGATTCCTGGGTCCCAGTTAAAAATTCCACGCGGGGGGAAAAAGAGAGGAAGGAGACCAAAGGGACGACGTAGGGGCCAACGGTTTGCAATTTATTCTGAATGTTTGTTATCGGTCACTGATTTGCAAACGGGCGAACGTTAGCAGGGAAGGGGCACGGAAGAAACAGGACAGGCGGGATCCTGCGGCCTGCTCTGAGCTCTTCCGACTTCCACAGACTGCAGCCCAGGAAGAAGAGACACCGCCAAGGTTTTCGCCCCTGCGAACTGAGAAAGATTTGGAGAACGGAAAGGTGCGTTTTAAGGAAGCCGGCCTCGAGGGTGCAGAGGCAGCGTGCGATGCCCAAGCCGTGGGTGGGAGAAAGGAATCGGCAAGCAGGTAAGACGGGAACGAGAGATGGGAGAGATGAAAAGGTGGACAGGACTGAACACTCTTATGCACAATTTCCCCGTTAAGGAGCAAAAGGATGATAAACAGGACAGAGACCACAGGAGGAGGAGGAGTAGTGGGGGGGGGACAAAGAATTGAGAGGAAGGGTCAGACTTACCTCTTTCAGCTGCACTGGCCGGGTTGAGGCAGGGAAACGGGCGGGTTTTGGGCCCCGTCTGGCCGCACTTACCACAAGGTCCATGGTGCTTGACTGGAATGGCGGCTTTCTGTTGGCACTCCGCCTTCTGGCGCTCGCAGTCGTTGAAGTAGGTCCGGCTGTCCCTGCCGCACAGGGGCTGGTAGGCGCCGTCGCAGGCCACCCGTTCGCATGAGCAGCGGGCAAGGCCCCGCCGGATGAGGCACACGGCGTTGAAACGGCACTCCTCCCGGCATCTGTCTGGAGACATCAAGGGGAGAAGGGGAGGGTCAGTCTCAAAGGTTCCAAAAAGGCAGGTAGGGGGGAGGGTGAGAGAGAGAGAGAGAGAACTAGGCTGAAACCCAGCAGACTGGGAGTTCTAGTCCTGCCTTAGACATGAAAGCCAGCTGGGTGACTTTGGGCCAATCACCAGGAGATGGTGAGTTCTAGTCCTGTCTTAGGCATGAAAGCCAGCTGGCTGACATTGGGCCAATCACCAGGAGACGGTGAGTTCTAGTCCCGTCTTAGGCATGAAAGCCTGGCTGGGTGACTTTGGGCCAATCACCAGGAGACGGTGAGTTCTAGTCCCGCCTTAGGCATGAAAGCCAGCTGGGTGACTTTGGGCCAATCACCAGGAGACGGTGAGTTCTAGTCCCGCCTTAGGCATGAAAGCCTGGCTGGGTGACTTTGGGCCAATCACCAGGAGACGGTGAGTTCTAGTCCCGCCTTAGGCGTGAAAGCCAGCTGGGTGACTTTGGGCCAGTCCCTCTCTCTCAGCTCCACATACCTCACATGGTTGTTATGGGTAGGGAAAATAGGAGAAGGAAGGAATGTCGAGTCATTTATAAAAATAAAAAAAGCGGGATAAAAAACGAAAACAAATAAGAGCAAACACCTACCTTGAACCTGGCACTCTCCTGAACGCAACTTCTGAATCTCGATGCCCCGGATGACGCCCGTCCTCTGCAAGGTGCACTCGTTCTCGTAAGTCATCCCGTCATCCCCACATACCGGCTCTTTCTTCAAGGGGCAGCTTTCCGGCCGGGGCAGCAACTCGGCCCGTCGCGAGCGAGGATTGACCCGGCAAACTCTGTTCATGTCGTTGTGCGTGTTTTTGCAAGGATCTGCGGAGGAAAAATAAAGGATGACGTTTTGGAGAAGCCATAGACACCATTTTCACACCACAGGCCAAACCAACGGCTCTCGACCTGGTCAAAGTCCAGATAATAATAATAATAATAATAATAATAATAATAATAATAATAATAATAATAATAATAATAATAATAATAATAATAATAATAATAATAATAATAATAATAATAAAGTTGGAAGGGACCTTGGAGGTCATCTAGTCCAACCCCCTGCTCAGGCAGGTAACCCTATGCCATTTCAGACAAATGGCTGTCCAGTCTCTTCTTAAAAACTTCCAGTGTTGGAGCATTCACAATTTCTAGAGGCAGGTTGTTCCACTGGTTAATTGTTCTCACTGTCAAGAAGTTTCTCCTTAGTTCTAGGTTGCTTTTCTCCTTGATGAGTTTCCACCCGTTGCTTCTTGTCCTGCCCTCAGGTGCTTTGGAGAATAGCTTGACTCCCTCTTCTTTGGGGCAGCCCCTGAGATATTGGAACACTGCTATCACTGCTATCATGATAGGTGGCCTTCGGTGCCCAGAATTCCTCAACCGGCATGGCCATTGCTGAGAATGCTGGGAGTTGAAGTCCAGATCCCCTCAAAATGGCCACGGTGGGAAAAGGCTGTGCTAAACCAGGAGGGGGCTGGCTTGCCTGGCCCAATCCTGCCCTTTGGGGTGAATTCAGCTCAATTATCAGATTAGAGCAACTTTCCAAGCAGCCAAGTTACTAAAAGGGGTGGCCAGTGGGATAGATGGAAGCGAAAGAAAGGGTGGGAAATTGGAAAAGGAAGAAAAACAGACTAATACAGCAGAATCACAGCACTGCACGCTGCCAACGTTTTGTGCAGATTCTCTCTCTTGGGTCTTTCTCAAACCCAACAGCTTTTGCAAGAAAGCCATCCGCAGCTCAGAGCTGAATTTGGTAGCTTATCCGTTTCCACCAGGAAACGGGTGGAATTTGCCCCAAACTAGACCCACCAGTTGGAAAAGCAGCACAGGTAACCCAACTTACAGCCACTCGTTTAGTGGCCTTCCCGAGTTACAACGGCATTGGAAAAAGAGGGATTCGTGGCTGTTTTTTTTTCACGCACGATCCCACGCATTAAAATTTTGCTGCTCGGGAACTGGCCTGCCTTTACGACGGCTGCCGTGGCCCAGGGTCTATGTGATCGCCCCTTGTAACCTTTCTCAGCCGGCTTCCGATGAGCAAAGTCGATCTGGGAAGTCAGATTCGCTTAACGACTGCATGACTCATTGAACAACTATAGCCGTTCGCTGAACAACTGGGCCAAATATATATATATATATATATATATATTTCTAATAACACTAAAACTAAAACAGTGACTCCTGGGTGTGATCATCTTTCCAAAAACAAACTGTGAACACCAGGAGTATATTAAACTATACAAAGTTTAATAACATAAAACATAAAACAAAACTACACCAAGCTTTCGTCGGACTCCTTCCGACTTCGTCAGGGTTACGTGCNAAGAAGAAGAAGAAGAAGAAGAAGAAGAAGAAGAAGAAGAAGAAGAAGAAGAAGAAGAAGAAGAAGAAGAAGAAGAAGAAGAAGAAGAAGAAGAAGAAGAAGAAGAAGAAGAAGAAGAAGAAGAAGAAGAAGAAGAAGAAGAAGAAGAAGTTGGAAGGGACCTTGGAGGTCATCTAGTCCAACCCCCTGCTCAGGCAGGTAACCCTACGCCATTTCAGACAACTGGCTGTCCAGTCTCTTCTTAAAAACTTCCAGTGTTGGAGCATTCACCGCTTCTGGAGGCAGGTTGTTCCACTGGTTAATTGTTCTAACTGTCAGGAAGTTTCTCCTTAGTTCTAGGTTGCTTCTCTCCTTGATGAGTTTCCACCCGTTGCTTCTTGTCCTGCCTTCAGGCGCCTTGGAGAAGAGCTTGACTCCCTCTTCTTTGGGGCAGTCCCTGAGATATTGGAACACTGCTATCACTGCTATCATCATAGGTGGCCTTTGGTGCCCAGAATTCCTCAACCGGCATGGCCATTGCTGAGAATGCTGGGAGTTGAAGTCCAGATCCCCTCAAAATGGCCACGGTGGGAAAAGGCTGTGCTAAACCAGGAGGGGGCCGCCTTGCCTGGCCCGATCCTGCCCTTTGGGGTGAATTCAGTTCAATTATCAAGTTAGAGCAACTTTCCAAGCAGCCAAGTTACTAAAAGGGGTGGCCAGTGGGATAGATGGAAGCGAAAGAAAGGGTGGGAAATTGGAAAAGGAAGAAAAACAGACTAATACAGCAGAATCACAGCACTGCACGCTGCCAACGTTTCATGCAGATTCTCTCTCTTGGGTCTTTCTCAAACCCAACAGCTTTTGCAAGAAAGCCATCCGCAGCTCAGAGCTGAATTTGGTAGCTTATCCGTTTCCACCAGGAAACGGGTGGAATTTGCCCCAAACTAGACCCACCAGTTGGAAAAGCAGCACAGGTAACCCCTGACTTATAGCCACTCGTTTAGTGGCCTTCCCGAGTTACAACGGCATTGGAAAAAGAGGGATTCGTGGCTGTTTTTTTCACGCACGATCCCACGCATTAAAATTTTGCTGCTCGGGAACTGGCCTGCCTTTACGACGGCTGCCGTGGCCCAGGGTTTATGTGATCGCCCCTTGTAACCTTTCTCAGCCGGCTTCCGACGAGCAAAGTCGATCTGGGAAGTCAGGTTCGCTTAACGACTGCATGACCCATTGAACAACTATAGCCGTTTGCTGAACAACTGGGCCAATATATATAACGAAAGCTCAGCAATTAATAAAAAAAAACCTTTTACCTTACATCCCAGAGCTCTTTATTTTTATCTGATTGACTTTAAATATATAAAAGGATGCAAAATGGTTGCTTCACTTAGCAATGAAAATTTTGGGCTCAGTTTTGGCCGTTAAGTCGAGTTCCTTGTGAGCAAACTAGTCCGAGCAGCTGGCATGAAAACAAGCCAGGAACCACAGGCCATCAGTTAACCTCTTGAATCTGGGCTTAGCCAGACCACCTTCGTTTCAACGCTGATAAGACCAGGAGAAGCGGCAGGCTTCGGCTCCCTTCATCGCCGAAATGCAAAAATGTACATTTGTGGGTTTCTCCCCCCCCCTTAAACATGGCCCCACACAGTGCTGTGGAACACCTACCTCTCTGTATCAGACCAAGAGGGACCATAGATTAACATGTCACCATGGAGACTGAAGAACCTTGTGTGTGTGTGTGTGTATGTGTGTCTCTGTCTGTTTGGGGAGGGGGGGGGAAACAGG